TTTTCTAGGAGAGGGCTGGGTGCTAACTTCCTACATAATAACACCATTTGTTTTTGGAGTACTACCATAAAATTATATATCAATGGAAAGATGATTTAATCAAGAATGTAATGCAACAAGGTTTGTTCAATTATCTGTATTCTATGAAAAGTTACAGACAAATGTAGCCAGCAATAAAACCCAGTTAATAGAAGCAATCATTCAATCTTGGTTTCACATGATAACAGGTGCAGAACTAAAAGACTTGGTTTACTCCATGGAAAGACGTTGTAAGGCCATAATTCATGCTAAAGGTTACCCAACTAAGTATAAGTGATAATTTTTGTATATGTCATTTTTTTCTATGATGATAATTTTTGCATATCTCGTTTCACTTTTCTTCTTTATAACTGCTTTTCTGATAGCAAATCCTTCATAAAAGCTGTTAAATTACATTCTTGATTACATAAGTTATCTTTCCATTGATGTATAATTTTATGGTACTACTCCAAAAAAAAGGTGGTTATTAGCCACTCCAAACCTCAAAATACTGTACACTTTTCCCAAAAGATTTTCACAATTTTGGCCACTACTGTATAATAAGCATATCCATAAGTTGATGCTGGAATGACTTATGTATATAAATACTATTAAAAAAATTTAATCTTTGTTACTAGGAAAGTATTGGACATAAAACTTCTTTATTTGCTATTAAACAGCTGGGAGCCTGATTTTTTTTTTTTTTTTTTGCTTCAACCAACCACTGATCTACTTTAAGAAATAATACAGATAGTTCTCGACTTACAACAGTTTGCTTTAAGTTAGAAAGGCACTGAAAAAAAGTGATTTAGGAGTATTTTTCACACTTATGACTTTTGCAGCATCCCCTCCATTTGCATTTGTATTAGCATATTCAGATCTGTGCATTTTCTGTCCTCTGTTCGGCATATCACATTCAAATTGACACTGCTCATTCTGCTTTTTGCTTCACTGAACCAGTGTGAAAAAGGATTCCTTAAGAAACTCCAAACATGGAAGGGAAAAATGAAAAAACAAAACCCCAAACTGCTATTGTATAATTTAGCAAAGCAAAAATGACTAATTTACATTTCCCCTGAGTTTTGGGGATAGTCTAATAATAGATTTTTTTGAAAATGTCCTTTAGAAAGGGGAAACTCTTGAATTTTCTTAGGGACTTGCCCTCTAGCTGCCAGTCAGCCGGTGGGTTTGCGTTTGCATTGGGAAACTACCAGCCAGGCAAGGAGAAAGGATCAAATGGGGAATTAGCCTTGAGTCACTGCATAATCGCAAGAGACCTAGGACTAGCCCCCTATAGGTTCCCCAAGGGAAGACAAGCAGTCTAGTGAGATTCTTGTATTATAGGTAGAATACAGTAGCCAAGTTTATGCCTGGCAATTTCAGAAGAATCAAAGAAGGGGAACCCTTGGCTCGGAGGTGGGTTTTAACCCCAAGGAATCAAGGCTTTCCCCACTGCTTGTGGACTGTTTTATTATGCAGAACTATTTGGGCTTCTCCTTCAGTTAAAAAGATAATAGATTCGTATTTTGTATTTTGTTAGTTTGTCAAACGTGCAAGATAGCAGGTATAAATATAAACATGGATATGAACGAAATAAATAAATACAAATAGATGGGAACAGTAGGACAGGGACATTAGGCACGTTGGTGCGCTTATGCATGCCCCCTTTATGGACCTCCTAGGAATGGGATGAGGTCCACAGTAGACAGTTTAAGCTGTGGAGGTTTGAAGATGTAACAACGGAGTCACGTAGAGCATTCCAGGCATTGACCAGTCTGTTGCTGAAGTCGTATTTTCTGCAATCGAGTTTGGAGCGGTTTACCTTGAGTTTGTATTGATGGTTTCCCCGTGTGTTATTGTGGTTGAAGCAGAAGAAGTCATTGACAGGCAAGACGTTGTAGCAGACAATTTTGTGTACTGTGCTTAGATCATACTGCAGGTGGAGCAGTTCCCAATTATCCAAGCTCAATTTAGAGCTTGGTGGCCTAGGGAATTCTATTGTGAGCAGAGGAGTGGAGGACTCTTCTCATGAAGTACCTCTGGAGCTGCTCGATCATATTAATGTCCAATATACAGTTGAAATAGATGAAAAATGCCCTCTGGATAAACCTTTTAATACAGGTTGACTTGTGACTGTTCAATTAGCCATTGTTTGAAGTTATAACAGCACCTATGACCGTTGCAGTGTCTCTACACTCTTGTGTAAAGCTTGCATTTACAACAGTTATAGCATCTCGGGGTCAAATGATTGCCGTTTGGGACCATCCCACCTATCTTCCACCCTGCAAACTCAATGGGCAATTTGGCAGGGAAAGTCGCAAGTTGCAATCACACCATGTCTCTCTCGATGACCATTAACTAAAAAAGGTTGCGAAAGTGGGTGTGGTGACACGATTTTATTCATTTTTTTAATTTGTTGTCATTTGTCAAACAGAAACGAAAACAGAAATAACATAAAAATACAATGACAGGGACAATAGGGCACGTTAGTGCACTTACGCATGTCCCGGATGCTTGGGTTAATGACTTTCACTGCTTAACAATGAATTTTCCGGTCCCATTTGTGGGTGAAAGTCAAGGATTAGCAGTCCGTGAAAAATAAATCAGTTATAATTTCTACTTGGTATGGTCATCTTGTTCCACCAACCAAGTATGTGTCTTCAGGACATGCATGGAACAGTCAGGGAGAAAGGGAAACCGTGGTGGCACGGTAGTTAGGATGAAGTATTGCAGGCTAATCTCTGCTCACTACCAGGAGTTCGATCCTGACTGGCTCAAGGTTGACTCAGCCTTCCATCCTTCCGAGGTGGGTAAAATGAGGACCCAGATTGTTGAGGGAAAGAGGCTGACTGTGTAAACTTCTCAGAGGGGGTTGAAAAGCATTGTGAAGTGGTATATAAGTCTAAGTAGGTAAAGGTTTAATTAGGTAAAGGTTCCCCTCGTACATATGTGCTAGTCGTTCCTGACTTTAGAGGGCGGTGCTCATCACTGTTTCAAAGCCAAAGAACCAGCGCTGTCCAAAGACGTCTCCGTGGTCATGTGGCCAGCATGACTAAACACCAAAGGTGCACAGAACACTGTTACCTTCCCACCAAAGGTGGCTCCTATTTTTCTACTTGCATTTTTACATGCTTTTGAACTGCTAGATTGGCAGAAGCTGGGACAAGTAATGGGAGCTCACTCTGTTATGCGATGCTAGGGATTCGAACTGCAGAACTGATGACTTTTCTGATTGACAAGCTCAGCATTTTAGCCACTGAGCCCCCGCATCCCCAAACTGTTTACTAATAAAGATTGGAAAAAAATGCTAAAAAATTATTTCTTCTGGAAAAGCACTAAATAGAGGTGGCAGTCTTATTAAGCCATTATATTTATACAGTTCATCTAATCTTCTGTGGCATTCATGGCAAAATGTGTGACATTCTCTGTCAATATTCCATTCAAGCAATAACTATACTGAGAGATGATTAGTTTCATTAAGGCAAGTGCCAGAACACTGATGTGGGGATAATTTCTTTTACCCTGGATTTGTCCCACATGTTTTTACCAACATTGGAGAATGAAAGGGATCTTACCCCACACATTGCCTTTCTATAGCAGGTAATGAGAAGCTGGGTAATATTGACACTTGGAACAGAAGCAACCAATGCAGATGAAGGTTGCTCCTGGTTCAGCCTGATTCGGCCTGGTTCGGCCAGATTGGTA